AAGTAACGTTCGAAAAATAAAAGAGGGGACTCTGTGTAATCCCTGAGAGAGATAATCGTCCGCGTGTCTTCGACGGTAATAATTTCGTCGCGAGTTTCTCGAGCCGAAGAATTCGTATCGCAACGACGAACGGAAGTGGACAAGCAGAAGAAGATAATCGTGGCAATTTTCTTGATTCCAGGATCATCGATCATCCAGCTCGTGGATGAACGCCGTGCGGAAAGAAGAAATTCTCGATAGCGGAGGACAACGTTGCGATATCGAGATGGAGCGGCGGGCGATTTCTGCTGACCTGGCGGAGGTTCTTGCTCTTGCGCGACGTCGCCATATTGCGCCGCGAAAACGGCTGTTTCTCGGATAATCCGGGCAAGAACCGAGCCACCACCGTTCGAATCGTTCGAGCACAGGCCATTCGCACTGGCTCGTTAATTCCACGCCCATTCGAAGACATTACTGCCAGTCGACCGACGGATCCGGGATATTTCTTCGGGCAACGTTTGGGAAATCTACCGATGGGGAACGGAAACCGATATTTCTGACGGCCGTTTGCGGTTTCAGCGGCTCGTTCATTCGCCAGGAAACGGCTGCTTACCGACAGATTTTTGACGAGTTCGATCCGGCCACCGGTCAGTTTGTTCGAAGCGTTGTTACATTATGTCCTGGAGTCTCCACCTTTATTATTTTTATTTTTATTATTATGTTTATTATTTTTCCTTCTTTTTTTCCTGCAAACCTGCTTCGCGTTTCGAATTTCCTTTTTCAGACGCACACAATCGTGTCACGTCTCTCGGAGTCTCCGAGTCATTCTAAACTGAAAATGGCTAGGAATCTGAGGAATCCAGAAATCTAGAAGAAATTCTGTAATTGTGAGAAATCTTCGTCGGCTGTGAGAATAATTATTTTCTTTCGAGGTTAAAAAAATCTCACCTGCGGATGATTTGGATGTACGTAAGAATTCGAGGAGCGTAACATACGTATCTTTTTAATAACTTTTTTCTTTCAGCTCCGTTGGATTCTTTGAGCCGCTCTAAACTCAAATCGTGCCTAGATTTCTGAAGAATCCAGAAATCTAGAAGAAATTCTTTTCAGGCTGTGAGGACAATTGTTTTCTTCCAAAAAAGTATCGGTTCACTTGTGAAATTTGGATATGAGAATTCGAGGAGCATAACGAAGTTGAAGAACGAAAGAAGTTGAAAAACTGATGTGTAAAGTACTCTTGTTATTAAGAAAGTCTTGTTGTTAAAAAGTCAAACTCTTGTTATTAAGAAAGTGCGATCATGGTACTCGCATTGTACTTTGGTTGGCAGCCATTTGTGAGAAACCCTAGCGGTGCCTCTTACCTCCTTATACCGACCAGTTGTCCTCGTTTTCGCAAAGAACTTTATCCAATAATGCAATTAAGACCGCGGCAATGGTACGTTCGCGTGTAACGATCGAATTAAGCGCAACGAAATGTTCTCGGTCCAACTAACTACATATGTACATACACCTCAGCGGTAATGCATTTCAAATTGTGAGAGACTCTCAAGTGAAAAGTTTAGACCGTGAGACCTTCGTCGAAAAATCCAATTTGTTCCCGACGCTTCGATGTAATCCACAGTAATTACGATGATGTATTTTTTCACAGTTTATATCATAACCACCACTTTATAAGCATTGTTCGATATTTTCCATGTATGATAGAACTCCATTTACCACTGGAATACAAACAGTTTGTAAATAACTGGGGGGCTCACTGATCCTCTCCATTATTTTCAAGTTCACATTCAGACAAATGGAATACAAACTAAAGTCCCGTTTAACTATAGCACGACCATCGAACTTTCTTCCATGTTTTCTCGATTACTAGATCTCTACGATATGGATTTATGGTTCTAGAACTTTGCAATATCTGAATTTAACTTGTGAATTATATTTCAGCTTCTTGAAGATATTGAATTGATTCTGGAGATAGTGTATATATTTTTATATATTGTATATATATTGTTGTATATATTTTTATTTTAGTGTATATATTTGTTGTATATATTTTTATTTTAGTGTATATATTTGTTGTATATATTTTTATTTTATATATTTATATGTTATTATTGTTGTATATATTTTTTATTTTAGTGTATATATTTTTATTTTGTAGAGAGATTTCTAGATCTGTTATTTATTTCTAATTCTGTTCTAATTCATTATTTTTTTTCGTTTATTTTTACTATATTTACATTTTATAATATAATAAAATTAATTGTAAAATTATATTTTATTATATTTATATTTATATTTTTTTCGTTTATTTTTTTCTAACTCTGTTTTAGTTACGTGTCTTTTAACAATTTAAGAATGATACTTTTTCAATAATTCCACGTCAATGTTTATGCAGAAAGTTGCAAAATTTCGCCCAGAGGGGGACAAAATTCCACAAAAATGTAGAAACTGTGCTCGCGATCACAAAGCAAACCGATCTCGCCTTCATCCGCAATATGTGGCACAGAACTGAGGAACTGACAGCAGGGTACGAAGCGAGCGGCAGAAAGAAGGAATGAGAAGCAACGCGATCGTTGGCGACGGTTTCAATCTCTGTTCGGGGCCGGTATTAATATTTATCGAGCGTTTCCGAGGTGCAGTAAATATCGGGGCGAGGCGGTGGCGCAGCGGGCCAACGATAATTTCATTGCTTAATTCGAGCGGGCCCGGGCCTCTGGCCCAGAGGGTCGGAGCCAGCGAGGGCGAGCAAACGCGCAGAAAATCGGCCAACGCGTGCACGCGTGCTCGTCCGTTTTTCGTGGCCGCGAAATCACGGAGTCCCTCGGAGGGTACCCAATGGCCGTAAAACAATCGTTTCGTACCGATCGAAAAATATTACGTCTTCATGGAGCACCGAGGTTACGCCGTCAGAGTATAATTTCGTCATTAAACTCTTTATTGTGTGTGTGTGCGTGTGTGTATGTCTGTGCTCGTTCTCCTGTTTCATCCCTGTTATCGTGTATCGGTAAGAAGGAGAGGGAAACGAGAGGAAAGAAGAAGAAAAGGTACAAAGTGGGGAGAGAGACGAAGACGATCGATCGATCGATCGATGATAATGATTTCCATTGATGATAGCTCGCCGGTTATTATACGCGTCTCGTCGGTGAAACGGAGAAAGAGGGTGAGAAAGAGGAGAGAGGAAGAGCCGGATAAGAGGTGCGTTCGTGTTTTAAGAGCTGGAAGCGATTGGTCGACGCCATTACTCACACCGTTTGCGCCTGCCACATGGCTCGATGGATCTTTTCTTCTCTTCTCTCACCCCCCATGCCCGTCGTTCAAATTTCTTCCTTCGAGAGTTCGTAACTTGCGCTTTCGCCCGATATACTCGTGATTCGTTGCATTCTGCTTGTATCTACTTGTGTATTCGTCACGTGTGATTACGGTTTGTCAATCAAGTTGCCAGAGACATCGGAGTAGAATCTCGAAAGAGAGAGTAGGAAACAGTTTATTTCTTTCTTCCCCAGGAAGGACGTTTATTGGAAACAAAGAGAAAACGCAGAGAACTAATTTGTTCTGTTCATTCGTGTGACTTCTAGTCCATCTTGCATCTCGTACCTCGTATTAGAATTTTTCTTTCCGATCCATTTGGACACAGCCACTCGATCCCGTGAAGACCGGTTAATTTGAAAACAATTTTCAATTTTCCATCTCTCCGACTTCGCTTCGTTCTGTCATACAGAACTTTGCCTACACCGGCAAAGAAGCGAACGCGGTGGCAGCTCGTCGGTTTGCGCGAAACGACCCGTCAAATTGGCTTTATGCAAACCTGTGCTTTATGTGCCCGTGCGTTTATGCAAACTGGCCCATTAGCGGGAAACCGACGCGCGTCAATCCGTTTTAAAAGTGGCGCGTCAAACTCGCACGCCAGCGCCGGGACCAGCGGAGGAACGCGTGGTGCACGCTCATCGAAGGGAAACGTGTTCATACGACTCGTCAACGGCTCGTTAAACGCGACGATGCCGCGTGAACACGAACGGAAAGTTGAACCGGCTGAAACCCTGCTCTCTGGCAAATGAATTCGCGTGCGGCGTTTTAGGCAAGCTAACTGCAGACCGTGGAATATCTATCAGCATCTGGAAAAATTCGAAATTGCTTTGGAGGATCATTGAGCAGGATGTTTGAAGACTGTCGATACCAGACCGTTTCGCGTCTAACCATTTCCACTATGGTCTCACGTGCAACGTTTCGGTAATCTCAAACTCCACGGGGTAGTATATCTGTTGAACATCTTTCTACTTGTTCTTTTCGCTCGTTCCATCTCGAAATGGAACTGCAAACAATTGCTTTGTAGTTAAAATTAGACATCGTTTATTGTATTCAATTATATTCAATTATTTTCAATTATTCTCGAGTGAATTACACGCGGTGGGTAAATGATTTCTCTGCTCTCGCGAATGGTTCAGATCGACTAGGAAGAATCTAGAACCGATTCACGAAAATCGTGAATTGTTCTCTAAGATTGTAAGAGTGCTTCTTTCGATTGGGATTGTCGCACGATAGAAGATTCATTTACAGTTTTCCAATTACTTTCTCCTAAATATAATTATACAAATACACGTTCCATAATTGTACAATACACGTGTAATTTTCTCGATCTGTCGAGACGATTATTTAACAAAATTACCATCTTTAAGCTATGAGTAAGTAAGTACTTTTTGTACGGGGAACAAAGGAAACGTTGAAAAATACAACCGATAATGTGAAAATTTCGCGAAACAAAAAAAAACGAGAGGGAAGCTCTCCAACTCCGTTCTAAAAAATTTGTTTCTTTTTTTCTCTGCTTTTCACTTTCAGCGTATTAACGAGTAAAAGAGATATGTATTTAGATCCTCCTCCATTTAGCCTCTGCGTTTGATAATTAGATCCGCGCTAACTTTTTGAACAACTTCTAATTTGCTTGGATAGAGTCGTAACCCCGGGTGCCGGGTACTGGGTAGTTACTTTTTATGCAAATCGAGTCGCAATTACGCCCCGGGTGAAAGATGGCCTCCGCAACAAGACCAATTAGGGGATGTACAGCCGAGGATCCGCCGAAGCTGCGGATATCGGCGTATGATCAAGACAGTATATAAAACAAGCGCAAAGTGTTAATACTAGCAGAGCTCTTTGTAGTTAAATTATGTACACACAACCTTCTTCTAAAATGTTCTAGACAAAGGACGATGTACGAGTTTCTTGTCAGAGTGAGGGAATTTATTGTCCTATTTCTGGTTATTTCTGACCAAGAACAACGGTTCGTCCGCTTTTTCATACTGGCAAAAAGTCTTAACTAGTACGTCACGTTTCATCGCGACTATTGTGTCACGATCATTCGTTGTTATTGTTTCTGGTCGCTGGGCCAGCGAGTCTGTTTTGCTCAGTGTCTTCTAAAAACGGTTGGTATCGGTCGGTTTTGATTTCAGCACTTTTTAGATGAACTACGCCAGGACAATCGCACAACGGCCCGTACTTTAAAAGTGATTGGCTAGAACTCGTTATAAAACAGGCCCGCTGTCGGCGATTTTTCCACTTCGTCGGGATCGTTACGCTTCATCAAATCGCTATCCGCTCCAGCAACCAGTGCTTCGAACCGCCGGATCCATATCGTTTGAACCTTCGATCCCCAGTACAAGGTATGAAGTTAAGGGCAAACTTAGAAATCGAGAAAATATAGGTAATCATTTTATAACAGAGCAACAGATCGTCTTGTTAAACTTCTATCATTCCTTTCTCTGAAACGAAGTTGTTGCGCAATGATTACATGTTATTCAACTATGATCGAGTAGCTTAAAGGAATAAGAAAAGGATTTTTGAATCGTTGAAATACGACGCTTATGAGGCATGATGGTCTCTTTGTCCAGGACGTTATGAAGATGTCGCCGAACGAACACCGAACGAAGACGTACGAAGCGTTTACAAAACGCTTACGCGTACGACGGGCCGCGTACACATCAACGCCGGTCGCATTATCTGATGGCACCGACATACGTCTTCGCTGTCAGCCGATCGTTAAGGGAACAATCAGACGTGCCGGAGACGGATCGGTTGCCAACCACTTTCACCCTTCCTCCTTTCCATCCCCATCTTCTTTTTCCTCCTTCGTTATTTTTTTCTTCTCTTTTCTTTTTCTTTTTTTTTTTTTTTTATTCCACTCGCTGTGCTCCGTCTTTCCACTCCCAAAAGAAAGATTCATCGTTTCCTCTTTTCTTTCCTACAGAAGAATATTACGGAAGAAAATTTCACAATTCAGGAATATTAATTTATTGTCGAAATTTCTTTGCTTCCCATTTGAAATGTTTCAACCTTCAAACTGTAGCCAACGTAAGACAAAAAGTTCAATTCAAAGTTGCTAGAGGATCGCCATTTTTCGTGAAGCGTGCTTTTCTTATGAGACGATCTATAACCGTTTTACGCAATAGTGGAAAGATTCAATGGCGTACCGAATGGAAATTCGATTACTCGTGTCCCGCAGGTGTTCCCCTCCCGGTGTTCCTTTATTACGTGACAATATTGCGAACGTTTCTTGCCGGCAATAAAGCGTCTTAAGATCCGTGCCAGATGTCACCGTGGCTGGCGTCATATACGAGACCGAAATCTCAAATATTAGCGGATTCTCTACCGGATAGAGAGGATGGCACCCGTCTACGCTTTAATATCGCGGTTTTTTTCCAACCCTCGCCGATGCGCGTCGCGACACGTGCGCGAAACGGCTTATAAAACTTTCGTCGAGCATAGCCATCGCTACGAATGGCTATCATCCCGACTATCGCCGACTGATGAAACAGTGATGTGTGAATGAAATAAGGCTTTCTAAGAAAAAATTAAGCAGAATTATATCATTGAAATATCGATGGAAGAATTTTTATGAAAGACATTGGCAATTCTTTTATATAAAATACCTGTTTTGACACGCTGTATTTAATTTTTGCACCAGATCCATTGTACATTGTACATTTTTTCTCATCGTGTAGTTTGAATTAATTGAAGAAGATTATTCAAAAGGGAATTTTGAATATTTGTAATTCGCGGAAAATGTTTTGTGCTGCTATCTATTTACATTCACATGCACCTTTTAAACGATAGCATATTTATCCCATGTTGGTAAAATAAAATAAATCTTCTTTATCGTCATGTTTCACTGAGTCGGTATTTTAGGACTCTGCTTAACATTGCGTCTCTTGTTTTTCAAACATCGATTAGTATTATGTAACGATAAGAGTATAAATTTGTGGAATAACACGCAAGCAACATAGTGTCCTTAGTATATTTATTTTTTACGTATGAATTATGTATATACATGTGGATTTCTTCGAGGCAAGTCATGGTCTCCATACGAAATCTAGCCTCTTAATATTCGAGCTTGATCCTTTCAATGAGAGAAAAAAAAGGATGATTTTTCTTGTTGATGTAGATGATAAAATAAAATGATGTCACAATGATAGCTACGACGTAGCACACTCTATCGCTAAGTAGCTTCATCACATTGTTAATTCCTGAAACAGGAAAGAAGAAAAACATAAGTAATCGAATTATACATACCGAATAATTTCTTTTTATGCAAAAATTTAATCAGTCTGCCAAGATTTTCAACAGCATTTTATATCTGATATAAACGCGAAACCATTGTCAAAATCATCATATAATATTATTCTATAAAACTTTGTAAGTCTATTTGAAAACTTACCATAATAGCGTTAACGATATCATTCTGATTATTTTTAAGAGCTTTAATGGCCTTCCCTCGGGAAACGTTGGCTTGACACATTACTAAATCAATGTCTTTTTCTTCGACTCCCGTTTCGTCTACTTCTTCTTCTGATTCTTCTTGTATTGGAGCGACAACCTTTAAAAATACAAAGTCAAAAAATAAAGCTAAAAGAACACATATGTTTTACTATTGTATAGCGATCAGATACAGTATCTTACCGTTGTACTACCACCAGCTTCAGTTGCTGGAATAACTGGTGGCTCTTTAAACTTCTCAGCTGCTGCTACCTGAGCCTGTTGGCTGAGATCCTCAATCTATAAAACAATTATTTAAATAATTACGAATGTTTGAAAGAAAGTACAGTTATTGAATATATCAATTTGCTAAACTCCATTTTCTACACTTTTCACAATACGTAAAACACAAAAAAAGCATCATATTAAATTTTTAATATACTACTTCAATGTAGATTTTCTAAATTTTACCTTGGCTTCGCCAAACACTATATAAGTATCTGAGGCTGGATTCTTCAACACATCTGGCTTATTGATTACAAAAAGAATATTCTTTGATTTACGGATAGTTACTCTATTAACACCTTGCACCTGTACAAAAGAATCCAAAGTATTTATTTGTTATAAAATTATATAACAATAGTATGTAACAATAGCATTTATTCAACATACAGGCTTCAGTCCCAATTTGCTCATAAGCTTCCTGGCCTTTTTCTCTCCTCGACTTTGTTTTGCTTTCGAAACCATATCAATGGGAAGACCAGTGACAGTCGTCCCTGGAAAACCGACAGTACCACCAGCCCCTGCATCGTCCAATTCTGGAATAGTATCATCTGAATCTGTATCAGTTCCTGATCCTGCTCCTGTTGCTTCAACCTTAGCAGGTTCAGAACTTGCAGCTTTATCAAGTTCAGTTAATTCTGGCATATTTCTTAATCTGGAATGAATAATCATGTTAGATACTACTGATGCATATTTACCAGTTTTCATTACACATTACAACTGAAACAAATTTACAACACAACTGCAAAATAATTGACATTCGTTCCTTTTGTAAAAACTTTAATTTTTTAAGATATTAACAAATCTATACATTTAACTTAATTTTCTTTTTTTTTTTTTTTTTTTTTTTTGCTAAAACAATCATTCTATAAAAATCGACCGCACGTGTATTATACCGGGTTAACAAATTCTGCCCCACCTAATATATCCTCGATCATACTACGATTTTCAATGAATACGAGCGATAAGATACGAGAATAAAATAACGATGAAATTGATGAGCAAACTACAAGTTATTAATAAATAATAATAAATACAAAATAACTGAATGACGAGGATAAACACTTATCCACACAATAATTCTAACAGACAAATGGACGCTGTTATGGCGCCCAGTGAAGATAGGCGAAAAATACTTGCAAACCTATGATCGACAATTTCCGTTATTTATATTTAATTATTGTGACAAGTTTAACTGTTTTCCAATAATCAGGAGTAACATTTTAATAACATTTCCAATCTTTCCGCGTTCTTATACAACTGTTATAGATCGTTATGAAGCGTGATGAACTTCGCGCATGAAGATCGTTGAAGCACAAATATTTTGCATATTCATCGTTGAAAATAAATCATTACAGGCAATATGATTTACATAAAAAGATATGTTTGTTATTTGTTTCCCGATATTCGCGCTCTTTTACTATCACTACACAACGATGCCGAAAAAATCGTTAGATTTACCTCGAACGATAATCCGTCAACGAGCGAGCACTATTTTTACCATGTGACTAAGACCAATTCACACGTGTGCCTCAATGAGCCTAGTTTTATACTTTTAAGAACGCAACATGCGAACGAATATTTTATTAAATCAGCATCCACAATTGGCTGCCCGAGCCAACAGAGAAAACATTGTTTTACGGAATTTATTTACAAAATACTTTCAGGAATATTCAATACAAATAAACATTTAAAAATATACAAAAGAATTTATTGTAAGAATGTAAGAATATGTTGGAATATGTAAAAAAATTTATTGTAATTCATTTACACGTATATCTATATATCTTTAAATATGCTACAATGGCAACTATAGTACACATTTGTTCTGTAAATTGTAGTCTGACTATTTTATAACAGTTTTATATTGAATATATTGTTTTTAAGATAGACATTCATCAACGTCCATTTTTTCATTCTTTTCATAATTTTGAACTTCTTTCTCTTTCTTTTCCGCAGTATTCGGGTCCACATTACCTGCTGGTTCATTTACAATTACAATTATTTATAATAATATAAATTATTTATAATAATATAAATATTGCAAAAGAATATAACGTATAGTTAAGGGTAATATTTCTTACTACATGTATTTTCGATTGAATCACTAACATGTTCAGTCTTTATCAATGTTTCTACCGATTGTTTAACAGCTTCGATATTTAAATCTAAAAATTATTTTTAATTAACTTCAATTATTTTCTTTAATTCCAAACAATTAATATTTTTTTTTTTTATCAGTCTTATTATTTTTGTTCATATTCAAACCTGAATCTGATGCACTTATTGATTCCGTTTGTCTATCTTTCAAATGCTCTGTATTTGTATCAGGTGATAAATATTCAGAAGTATTTAAAGATGGACTATTATGCCCAACATTATACATTAGTTTCGGAGCACACGGTTTTTGTTTTCTCGCATGATTCAAAAAGTTGCAATAACTACATTTGAATTCTACAAAATAAAAATACATATATTTAGTGTCGTAATCAAATCATTATAATTAATTCTTTTTGGTAAATTATAATGGTAATATTTACCAAAATATTCAAATTCTTCTTTGAGAGCCATTCCATTATGCGAGTTACAACTTTGACAAATTAATGCATATCGATTTGATGGACCATCTCCAACAAGATAATCAATTAATCGATCCAAACCAGTTCTTTTTTTAGGTAATATTGGACGTGGTAGTACTGGTAAATGAGGTACTGGAGATTCTATTATAAGATTCATACAGCAAAGAAAAATAACATACAAACGACGAAAAAAATAAGAAGACTAATTGTAATCCACAAGATACTAACTACAATCTTTGTTTGGAGTATTAACTGATCTACCAGCACTCTGTAAATGAATATTTGGTGAATTACAAACAAGAGTATCACATGGAACGTTAGTGTCAGTAGGTATATTATTTTGCACAATTAGTGTTTGATTCTGATTCATTATCGCACGTTTTCTCAATTCTCCAGCGGGAGACATGAGAGATTTCGAAGTAGTAGACTGTTGAAGATTTTTAGGCTAAAATGAAAGTTTTTTTTAGTTGATACATTACTTTCTCATTCAAATTATTTTTATATATTTTATTCTTCAAAATACAGACCTGTGGGGACAGCTGAAAAGTGAAAAAAGAGAATTTATTTAAAAAAATATAAATTAAAAAATATATTGTATAATTAAAATAATATATTTAATCTACCTACTGAAGACATTATAGTTAGTTGATCAGGAGCAAACTTTAACAGAATTTCTTTAGCCTTTTTATATGTTTCAGTCTCTGTAACTTCATCTAAAATTTTTTTTTTCTCAGATTGCATGGTAATTAATTTGTCTTGATTTTTAGAAATTTTATATTTATAATACCATGTTACCATCTTTTTTGTAAGCAATATTCTGTGACAATAAAATGTATCATTACAATAATTATACACAAACAACAATAATTTAATAAAAGAATGCAATATCAAATTACTTACAAAATTGGAAAAATTAACAACGGAATGATGTAGAATATTCGATCATATAGTGATGCTTGGAAGAAGTAGAAATAAAAAACAAATGCTGTTATGATATAAAATAACACGCTATATAATATAAGGATTCCAACAATTCTTTTATGTCTTTGTTCTGTACTATATCCATATTTTTCTATCTCTTTAATTTTCTGTTATAGAAGAAATTTCTAACATAAGTTACATAACTAACATAAATATAAGTGAAAAAATATATGTAAATAATTTACCGCATCAAGATCCTCCAATATTTCATATGTTGTTTTTTTTTTCTAAAATATAAAAATTTATAAATGTTAACATAACAGCTTGTATATAATTTATTGATTTTCTATAAGTATTTATAATATTTTACAAGCACTACATTATATATATAATTGATTTTCACTTTTTATTACATATATTTACATACAAATGTACTTTGAAAAAAAATGAATTTTAAATGAATTCAAATAAATTCACCATAGTAAAGAATATTTGTAAATCAATAATTAATATGAAAATTTATAAATAACTACACACTTAATATACTAAATTATAATTTTTCTTTCAAAGTATAATGTATTTTTATATATAGCAATTTTTATTATCTGAAAAGTATAAAAAACATCTTTTTAACAAAAAAAGAATCTCGTATATTAATAATTAAAAAATGTAGTTCGTCTTTACTATTTCAGCATTTACAATTTAAACAATTTGAAATATAAAAAAAGTTACTGAATAATAATTTTGTATTGTATGACAATTCCACATATGTATGTATATTTATTACAAGTCAATGTTCATTAAACATTCAGACAAATTCAATATTATGAATTTTATTCAATTAAGTTGGAAATCTTGAACTATACAAATTTTCAGATTATAAATTTTTACATTATAATATTGTTTATAAAACAATATATTTATAAAAATTTAATATTGTTTATGTAAATAGTAATACTAGCTTACGCCAAATCTTGATAACAGAAAGCTGTAGATTCCCATTTTAATCAACCGTTGGTGCCAAATTTAAATTACTTTGAGCTTTGCTTCGATATTTATAGTTTCAGTATTTATAAGAGTCATATTCTCGATGGTAATACTAACTGATTTGTCATGACCTTTAAAAAAAGATTATTCCGGCACGCAGAATATTCATATAAAGCGAAAATAATATATTAACAACTCAGTTGATATTGAAATTCTTTTCACTTGTCACTTTTTGTCGAATAAGTTAATTGAGTAAAAAAAATCGTATTAAATTACGTTCATTGTCATTTCATGTTTGTTTCTATCGGATATTAACCAGTCGCGACATGTTCTGTTTGAAACTACGAACGAAACTGAAACGCGCAACTGTCTTACAGACTATACAATGTGGCTCAACTCACGCATTGATAAACAAGAAATACAATGAAATAAACATATATGTTAACATTGTTTCATTTCTACATATATATATCTACTGACATATTATACTTAAGCATATAATAATCATTTCTGTTATTTTTGTTAAATACAAATAACAAATAGTAAATAGTAAATATTTAGGCATCTCTTTTATCAAATTATCCATGTTATTAAAAGGTATGAAGTCACTCAATGAAAGAACTCAATTTATACAATTTTCAGTGTGATATATCTATTAGTGTGAATTGCTTTCAACCCCATTGCAATATATTTATTAATAGAAGGAATTGCTTGTTCCAAAAGTACTACCTCCGTAGCTGACATTTTAGGTAGTCCAAAATTTTTTTGTATACCGCCTTGACCGAATTGCAATTCGGTAGTGAAGTATCGACATCCCGGCAAAACGTTTGATCGTGCATAAACAGAAGAAATAACATTCTTATAGCCGCTAAGTCCTTCGGCAAGCGCGAGGATTAATTTGGCAGCTGCTGCTCCATCAGATAGCACTGAACCTTTGAATTCAATATTTTTCATTTTTCTATCTGCGCTACGTAATGATCGTAACAACATTTCCTGTTGCACCTACATAAATTTTTAATGCATTAAAAAGTAGAAAAAAATTCTTCTCCTTAAGTACCAACAGTTTAATATAAATGATTATAGTTTCATACATTAGTAAACTGATTTATCGGAGAAGCACAAGATAAAAGGGGAACAATAGTGTTCAAATCTGCTCCGCCAACCATAGGAACTGATAAGAATGCAGGATTTAAATCTAGTAGATTTGCGGTTAATGCCTCCATTCGCATGCGATCACATGCAATGGAACCAATAATTCTGTCCGGATCCCACCATCCAGCAAGTTTGTAAATTTCTGATACCATGGGCAGTGTAGCCGTTACTGGTCGAGTAAAAACGGCTACCAAAGATTCTGAACTCAATTGTGCCATTTGTTCAGCCATCTCGCTTACGTATGACGATGCAGCTTTAAATTGTGCTGTAGGGTTTAACTCAATATTGGGATTTGTTTCATCCATCAATGCAATAATATTTATCTGTAAATAATATCGATTTCTGCGTATTAATATTATGTAGTCAAGGCTGTGCTCATTTTTTCATTGTTTAATAAATAAATACATACTTCTTTAAGAGCTTCTTTTAAATGTTTTCTTTTAAAATGTTTTATACGAGACGATGTATCAATGTGACTAATATCTAAAATTGCATTAGCCAATGAATCATTTGCGTCCACCACATGTATTCGTTTTATAAGACGAAATTGTTTTAAAAGAACGGCAGCGTATATCAATGACTCGCCTCCCCCAATCATACAAACTTTTATGTCACCTTCATAATCTGGCAGAAAGCAATTGTAATTTTTGAACTGAGGTTTATTGTTAACATTAGATTCCTTTTTTGATTTTATCTCCTTTATTTTATCTTTTGCATATTTTGATTTTTTATCATCAACTGGCATATTTGAAATATTTCTGTAAAAGCGGCGTGAAATGTATTTTTTGATAGATTTTAAAAAATATCGTTGTTTTCCAATCATATTCAAATATCTGTTTTAAAGGAATCATTGACGATAATTTTTTAATACTATCAAAGATTAAAGAAAAATAGACGATAAAATTCAGAAAATACTTAGGTTACTGGTTTAAAATATAGACTAATTTAAACGAGTAAAAAACAATCGAGTAGCTTTAAAAAATTATATATATGACAAACAAAATTGTATTTTCCTAGTATTGCTAATTTTCCCATACATTTTGTCTATAATTTTTATGTTAATTATTAACTTATACAAAAATACAATATCGATTATATATATGTCAATGTAATTACAAAATGAATTAGGCAAAAATAGAAATTAATAAAATTTCAATACATTATATAACTTCATTATAATGTATAAAACATTATTTCCACTTAAATAAAGAACTTGATATTGTTCTATCATAGCACAAATCTATTTAATTTGCTTCTATAATAAGATCAGACATATCTGGAACAGCTTGTAATTTTAATGTTTTCTCATTTGCTAAATGTAGCAAGGATACAAAAGAAATAGGAAAACTCAGAGCTTCTATATTAGTTTTTGTTAATAGATTTGGCAATACTTTATAAATTTCATTAAAACTTTTATTTTCTATTATTTTCTCTTTTTCTTCTTCATTTTTTGTAATTTCTGTATTATTACATTTAGTTAGGCTTTTCCAAATGGATTTTTTTAATTGTCTCATATCAATTGTTTTAGCATGTGTGCTATATGTAATAGATATTTTATTGGTTAATTTAGGAATAGCTACTAAATTATCTCCAGAAAAAATCATTTGTGTTGCTATTTCATTGTCTTCAACTTTATTATGGTCAGGTTCATTATTAGCTTCACTTGCATAGTCTTCATTAGGAATGTCAGGACAATAATTTGATATATCATTTTCATTGTCATAATTATAATTTTCTATATCTGATATATGAGTGGCATCTAATTGATCTTGCTTTTTTATATTTATATGTATTAATTCATGAAGGTACAATTTACTGGCACTTGTAATATTATAATGCATGTCTCGTGGCAACGTAAGTTTCTCTTCATTCCAGTCTACATTGACAATTTCAAACTTCGAAACTTTATTTATTATAAATTTTGATAATATTTCTGCTCTTATACTATCGTCATAACATATTTCTATTTCTTTTTTTTTTCTACCCGGCTTCTGTGGGCAGGCAGCAATAATTTTACTTCCAGAAGTAAAGTTTACTTTTGTAAAATTGCTCATTTTCCAGTGAGATGGACCAGCCCAGTGTATACTCGAACTTTTCTGAAGAAACGAATATTCAGATGGTTTATTCACATTGACATTAGATAAAACTTTACATAAATCTACAACTTTTTCTGGTGGTTTTTCTATTTTAACACATTTTGTTATATTTTCTACACTGTCTTGGATATCCAAATAATTCAAATCATCATGAAACACTTCATTCTCAGATGGTAAGCTAGCATCTAAATCAAATTGAAATCCACCTTCATCATTATCCTTTGATTTTGTGTTTTCATTTTCTTTTTCTTCTTTGTCAATACCTTCATTCCAGTCTTGAAAATTAAAATTAGTTAAAGGTGAACATATTTCTAGATTAGAAAAATCTTCTATCTGTGAGATAGTCACTTTTGTGCTTTTTTGATTTACTTTATGTTCTACAATATCCATAATAACATCATTATACAATTGTAAAGAATATTTTGAATTTGCATGGTTTGATAGCATTACTTGATACAATTCATCTGCAGTTTGTGAATCCTTATTCTCCATTATCCAAGAAGGTTTCATAATTTCTACAGTTCCTTTTAAATTTTCTGCTATACTAAAAATTTTCTGTTTATTTTTCTTTTTTCTCCTTTTCCTTTGTGCATCGTTTATCTGATTCTGTAGCTCAATATCTAATTGTTCATTTGTTTCATCAGTTGGACCATTATCATACTGTTTATCTATTCCACCAACCATCTTCATTATTTCTGTATGAACTCCATCTACACGAAAACCATAGATTTTTGAGCTTACATCTAAAGATGTACTAGCTGTTTGCAGATTACATATGTTAGCATCTTGTTTTTTTATCATATAAGACATAAAGTCAATTATTTCAAGTTTAAATGCATTTTTCACATTAATCTTGTTTTCAGTATTAAGTTTTATACATTCAATAATATGATCTTTTATTTCATGTGCCGACATTTGAGCTAAACACCCAAGCCCCAAAGATCTCCGTTTATTGCTTGTGTTATTTTCTATTGATGTTGTAGCATTTATTTCATAACGTCTAGCCAATTTTTCAGCTTCATCATTGTTTTCCACTAGATTAGGTTGTAATGAATTCTGTGCCAAAATAGATTTTCTTCGCAAAGATGATGAGGATGACGTTTCTGATATCTCTTTGTCCATTTTATAAATTTATTTAAATATATTGAGTGCAAATATATATATTCACAAATATTTTTATTCATTTACCTAGAAGGAATATTTATAATTATATATTTTAGCAAGATATTAATAATATATATTAACGAAAACAAAAAGTTACTTATGATTCAATGAAGTGAAATTATCTATAATCTTTTCCAAATCAACTCTCATTAAACGTAACAATGTATAAAATTGTTGCAGCTGAATTTGCATTTGTCGAAGTACTTTCAACTCGTTCAAAAGTTCCTGAAAATGACGCATCAATATTCATATAAAGAAGTTATTTAAGATATAACAAGACTCTATTTTTAGCATACCTTATCATCCATTTAAAATACAATTTATACAAATAAATACACAGTAAACACTTCAAAACATCAATTAATATTGTGCATTCCCCTCGACAAATTCCTCTTTGTTCAACTGAAATTGTCATAAATTCAAATTTAAATGTACGTGTTCCTAAAATCATTTTGTGCGAATAATAATAAAATATATCCATTTTTATTATATATCTATTAAACTATCTTTTTTATCATTATTTCACAGATAAAAATAGAATATAGAATTATATATTTACTTAATATTTAAAAAGATTTGTTTAATATAAAAACATATAGTTTAGTGCTTTTATTCTCTTTTAGTAACTATTTTAGTAATTTTCTGTCCAAAGTCATTCTCTGCTTCCCGCCGATACACTTATTTTGTTTTTCAACTAAACTTTTCTTTATTTTTAAATTTATAATTTAAGTCTATGCAATACATAAAAATTTCAGGAGTGATAGCAGGGATTCGAATTCTATACTGCAAGATTGTTCTTCGTTCTATGCATCTCGTCAATATGGTCCTTAATTTAAAAAAAGAAAAAAAAGAAAAAAAAAAAAAGAGGAAAAAAGTACTTTAGAAAAATTATCCATATTCCATTCTTTAATGGATTGTTCTTTCCTCTCCAAAACTTTGAAAAGCCTTAATAACATAAATGTTTTAATATTTTAAATAATGAGGAGTACAAAATAAGTATAAACATAAGGAGAATTTTTCATGAATCCAAAAATCAAGATTTAATAAAGTTTTATGTCGTAAATTACATTAAAATATATTTTGTTAACATCTAACATTTCGTAACAAAAAGTTACAAATTATTTAAAAATAAATAATATTTTTAAGACGAAGATTCATCGATATCCATTTCTTCAGCGCTCTCTTCACAGTTATGAACTTCTTTCTTTTCGGGTTCAATATTATCCTGTTCTACACTACCTGGTTCATGAAGGACTGTAATTATTTATAATATTAAAATAATATTCATTATTTACAATATTAAAAAAGTATTAAAATAAGTGATTAACAGTAATATTATTTACCACATGCATTTCTAACTGATTCCGTAACATGTTCAGTCTCTTCCAAAACTTCTGTCGGTCGTTCAACCATTTCAATCTCTGAATCTAAAAATTTTATTTTGAATTGATTTCAATTGTTTTCTTAACTGCTAAATAATTTATGTTTCAAACCTGAATCTGATGCACTTATTGATTCCGTTTGTCTATCTTTCAAATGCTCTGTATTTGTATCAGGTGATAAATATTCAGAAGTATTTAAAGATGGACTATTATGCCCAACATTATACATTAGTTTTGGAGCAGATGGTTTCTGTTTCCTCGCACGATTCCAAAAGTTGCAATAACAACATCTGAATCCTACAAAATAAAAATACATATATTTTGAATATTTAGTATCATAATTAAATCTTTATACTTAACTCTTTTTGGCAGATTAAGACAAATGTTTACCAAAATATTCAAATTCCTCTTTGAGAGCCATTCCATTGTGTGATTCACAATTTCGGCATACTAAAGCATATCGATTCGATGGACCATCTCCGACGAGATAGTCAATCAACCGATCCAAATAAGTCCTTTGCCGCGGTAATACTGGACGTGGTAAAGGAGTTCCTATGATACATTTATTAATTCCTTAATTTATTTTTTTGTATGTGTCTCCTATATTTATTTCTTCAATAAAACTTTAATAACAAAGTATTAGACTTTTTATTATTAAATTAATAATAAAATATGTAATATATGAATTAAATAAAGAAATGAAAATTAGTAGTAGCAAAAATACTAACGATAATCCCTGAATGGAGTATTAACTGATCTAATACCACTCTGAAATGAAGTATTTGATGGATTTTGAGTGGGAGCTCTGCCAACTGGGACAAGGCCAGTGTTAGCAAGTACACCACTTTGTACATTCAGTGGTTGATACTGATTTGTTACTATACGTTTTCTCAGTTCTCCAGGAGGAGATACTGGAGATATTATATGGTGAGGTGTACTAGTTCGTTGAGGAGTTTCTGTTGATGATGACACTTTAAAAATTGGCTAAAATAAAAGTTTTTTTTTACTAAAATTTTTTACTAAAAGTTTTTACCAAAATTTTAAAATCTTTTTTCTGTTCAAATTTTTCTCTAATATTTTATTATTAAGAAAAAACGGATTATTTAAATTATTTCTTCATATTTTATTGTGCAAGATACAAACCTGTGGGGACAACTGAAAAATGAAAAAAATAATTCAATTTTAAAAAAATATGAATAAAAAAATACTGTGTAATTAAAATAAAAAAAAATTATTACATCATAGATCTACTTACTGGCGTCATTCTTAATTGATCAGGAGCAAACTTTAACAGAATTTCTTTAGCTTTTTTATATGTTTCAGTCTCTGTAACTTCATCTAAAATTTTTTTTTTCTCAGATTGCATAGTACTTAATTTGTCTTGATTTTTAGAAATTTTACATTTATAATACCATGTTACCATCTTTTTTGTAAGCAATATTCTGTGACAATAAGATGTATCATTACAATAATTATATACAAACAATAATAATTTAATAAAAGAATGCAATATCAAATTACTTACAAAATTGGAAAAATTAACAGCGGAATGATATAGAATATTTGGTCATATAGTGATGCAGGGAAGAAATAGAAATAAAAAATGAATGCTGTTATGATATAAAGTATTACACTATACAATATAAGAGTTCCAACAATTTTTTTATGTCTTTGTTCCGTACTATATCCATATCTTTCTATCTCTTTAATTTTCTGTCAAAAAAGAAATTTCTAACATAAATTATTCATATAAATATATGTGAAAATGTATATGTAAATAATTTACCGAATCAAGATCCTCCAAAATTTCAATTGTTGTTTTCTTTCTCTGAAATATAAAAATAACTTATGTTTTAACCTAAATACATTACTAATAAAAACAAGAATATTTTTATGTATAATATTCTTCTTCCCCTTTTTTCAATGCACTTATTTATATATAAATGTATTTTAAAAGAAACCAAAGTTCTATTACTAAATTCAAATTAATTCAGCATTATGAACAAAGCATACTCATGCAATGAATAATTAATGTGAAAGTTTATAAATAAGTACACATAAAACACATTAAATTATAATTTATATTTCAAGTTTTATAATATTACTACTTTTATGTAGTATTATGTAATTTTGTTATACAATATAAAATAAATGATACATTTTTTGAGGATTTCATAATACTTTAAAAAATAATTACAGACAATATGTGTTTTTTTGGTTCAGAATAGTAAAACTAAAATCATTTGAATTTTATATCATTGAATAATGATTTCGTATTCTACGAGAGTTATGCATAAATTACAAGCCAATGTTAATTAATCATTTGATATTTTAAGCTGAACTACAAAAATTAAAGGTTATAAATGTTTAAGGGTTTGTATTAGTAAAATAATATATTTAAATAATACATGTTGGTTAATAATATATATATATATGTGTGTGTGTGTTATTTTTTAATAAACTGTTCAAAACTTTCTTATTTTCGCGCCTAACCTAAAAATTTTATCACATATGAAGAAATGCTTCATTCCGTCATATTTAAATATAAAAAAATATATTATGTGTTAGAAGCTAACATTTATCAAAAAATATTATAATATCTAAATTATTCTCAAATGCGTAGTAAAAATATATATATATATATATAGTACGACAGAGTTTTAACCTTACAGTATTAATATTATTTAGTAATACAGTATTAATATTATTTATGCACTAATTGTGACTTACACGAAATCTTGATAATATAATCCCCATGATGTCCAAATTTTAATGAATTCTTGTCAAAGATAAAATAGATCAAATGTAAGAGATTCATGCAATTTTTTCTTTTTTTTCTTTTTTTTTTTTTTATTGAGCAAACTTCGAGCAACTCAAAATTTGTAAAATATTCTTGGAATCAAGCCAATGCTGGCTCGTAAGCGAAGATACATACGTATTTAACATAATATATATGTATACAGGTACATATATATGCCTAGAATATGTATGCTGTATAATTCAGCAGAAAATGCACGACTACGCTGAAATATGTAACACACCTGTAGAAAATGCAAAAAGATTGTTAAGGGTAGTTCTTATGTAACTCATTCAGAGCAATATCACCCTAGGGACTTTAATATTGTGATGTTAAAAACGACACTAATGGCCTACTTAAATAAAGAAATTAAATTTAACTTATTGTAGCCTATAAAAATTTATAATTAATTGAATTCGTAGATTCCGTAAAATTTGGAATTTTGTGTTAACAAGAAAATTTTGTACAATGACAATATTTCGACGGTAACAGCGAATAAACTTTTTATAGCATTATACAGCACTAACCATACTTGTTACTTTAACAATTATTTTTGTCCAAGGACTATCTATAAGACCAAAATCATAGAATATGATATAGATTTTGACATATATATATATAAAATTAAATTACTTTAATATAAATATTTATATTAAAATTACTTTAAATGAATTTTAATCATTCACATAGAAGAAATATTTTCATTTACTAAAATTTAATCAAAAATTATTTATTCTTTAACGAAGTAAAATTGTCTATAATCTTTTCCAAATCAGGTCTCATTGATCGTAACAAGATATGAAATTGTTGTAATTCGAGTTGCATTTGTCAAAATATTTTTAGTTCATGTAAAAGTTTCTGAAAATAATATATCAGTATTCGCATAAATTGCCAGAGAATATATTTAAAACATATTGAATTTTATTTCTCCATACGTTATCATCCATTTGGAATAAAATTAATTAAAGTAAATAAATACAAGGAGAAACATTAATTTACTATCATAACTTTGATTTTGTGAAGGTCGCTTTGGTCAACCGAAATTGTCATAAATTTAAAATATATTTGAATATAAGTGTTCTTAAAACCATTTTATCTGAATGGTATTTTTCATTGTATATCTAGGTATGACTCTTTTAAATATATTTTAACTGATAAATGTAAAATAATTCATGGTTTTAGACGTTTTCAATAATCTAAATATTCTGTGAATGACTGCTTTGACATAACATAAGGAAGCCGGGGTTAACTTTTGATATAGTCTTCTACTGTTGGCAGTGCCGTTAAATGTGACAGGTCAGTCCGTAAGAATGGCGACCATGGTAGAAGAACAGAATTTGGTTGACATGGGCGAAGATAAAGAATCACAGTGAGTTGTGATAGATTAAGTATAATATGAAAAATCACTGATAATCAACTTGTAATTACATGAAAATATTGAAATAAGAATATTAAGTTTACAATTAAGCTTTGGAAAAATAACCTAACGTATAACATAATATGTAACTTTCGGTGATATTTTTTAATTTTTACATCTATTTACATTACAGATTCGACCAAGTTACTTACAATTGGGTGGATATTACCCAAGAATTTTTCGATGCCATTACAGGTGCTTATTTAAAAACTTATTTTCTTTGGAAATGCTTGCTTTGCAAGTTCTCTTTTTATTTCTTTTTCCTCCCTTATATTTTTTGTCTTATTGTAATTGAGACGATTTAATTTTAATTTGCATATAACTCGTTTTATTCAAATAATCTTATACTTTTGTTTAATAAAATATTGTTGGCATTCAAGTATCATTATTTACTGGAACTCTGACTTATAATGATTGACTAAAATAATATTTTATACAATGGAAAATATTTTATTGTTATGTTTATTTAGAGCTGGAATTGGGTGAACTGTTGCGAGATGAATTGTTTGGATTATTTGAAGCCATGTCTGCAATTGAAATGATGGATCCAAAAATGGATGTTGGCATGCTATGTAATAGAGGCAACAACAAACCATGTACTTTTACACAAGCTGTTGACTCTTGTCTATTGAAATTGGACAATTTGACTCAGTCAGAAGTTATAGGAATAATAGATTCAACTTATGCGTGCATAGTGTCTTGGCTTGAAGGTCACAGTTTGGCCCAAACGGTTTTCACTAACTTATATCTTCATCAGCCCAGTCTAATAGTGGATAAACCTCTGAGAACCTTTTGTTATGCTGTATATAAGATAATTGAAATAATTAAAGATTGCATAAATAAAGCATTAGTTTTTGAGGAAGAAGATTTCCAGAGTGTCACTTATGGTTATAGATTGCAACAGGATATTACAGAACAAAAAATCATATCCATGTTGAAAGAAGTAGAAGATGAATTACCTAGGAAAAGTAGAATAAAACCAATTCATGTAGTATCTGAGAAAGAAGTAGGTGTATGTTTAAAAATATGTTGGATTTTTTTAAAACGATTAAAGATATAAATTATTGAAATCATTATTATTTCTTTCAGTATGGTGATAGATTAGCACTCTATGCCAGAATTAGATTTACTAAGATATTTTATCAAATTTTATCATTAATGGGAAAAAAAGAACAACTGCAACAAAATTTAAATGAGTGTCATACATTGTTATCAAGATGTTCTTACATGATTCAAATAATGATTAAAACAGTAAACAGTGGAGAGAAAGCTGATGAAATATGTAAGTTTTTCAAAATTCATGGCTTACCTGTATAAATCAAGTATTATGTAATGATTGTAGCAAATTATCCAAATATTATGGGGTTTGACCCTATGGTAAATCAAAGATTATTACCACCAACATTTCCACGGTATACAAAAATAAAACCAAGAATAGAAGCTTTAAAGTATTTAGATGAGTTGTTGAATAGATTTCGAACAGTTACTATGATCACTAATCAGAATGGGTTTCATGCAGCTCTGGTAAGAAAAAATCTATAGGTTACTAGAAATTTTTGATATAAATTCCAAGTACACTGATTTCTTTTTAGGACTTTTTTTTAGAATTTTCACGACAAAGTCCATGTATATTATCCCGATCAATGTTGCAAATAGTTTATTTACCTACAACAAATCGGGTATTTGGTGTCCAAAATTTTGCTGATGTTTTGAAAGATGCAGCGCGGAATTTCATAGCGCCTCCAGTACTAATGCCAAAGAGCACGTTACTCCAAAATCATCAAGCTAAGGAATATGTTGATAGTTTCTTATCTCATTGTGTAGGCCTCTTTGGTAGTTTACTACAACTTACTGGCCATAATAGGGCAAGACAGAGAGATAAATTAGCACACTTATTAGACGATTTTGCGATATTACAGGATGAAGTAAGTTCTAAAGATTAATTTATATTTTATATTTGAACATTTTATAACTTCAAACTGACATATATTTGTAATTTTGGCAGGCTGAAAGAGTTGATGGATTCTTACATGCCTTGTCACTGAAAAGTGATACACCTAGATCACATTTAGCTTGTTTTGGGACGTGGATTTTGTATCATACGTTACGAGTTATGGTCATGTATTTGTTAAGTGGCTTTGAATTGGAATTATATTCGGTGCATGAATATCACTATATATTCTGGTACCTATATGAATTTCTCTATGGATGGCTTGTATCAGCTATTACAAGGGCCAATACATTCTTAATGGAACAAGATGTACATAATGATACACATAAAGGTAGAGGCAGTAAGAAAAGTGCGAGAAATAAGAAGAAAAAATCAACATCAAGGCCATATAATTTAGAAATATTAATGTATCAAGCAATGCAAAATATATGTGGAGGGTATTACAAAGTAAATGATATCTTTGGTTTCTTGTAAAAAATTATTTCTAAAATGATTTTATTTCATATATAAAATTTATTTCAAAGGCTTTAGTTGGTTTCCGTATGGATGGTAAAATATTACTTCCTGAGTCGCCATTTGATTCAGAACGAGTTCGATATGAACACAGGTTATTGCCGTTTTCTTCGTTACTGACTCCACCTCCGGTACATTATCAAGAATTCCTAGATATGACAAATGCACAGATGCATAAAAGAAACGTGAGTATAGTGATCCCCTTTTTCTTTTCTTTTAGCAGCATTTTTTCTTAACTTCTATTTTCCTAGGAAAAGGTTACTAGTGAAATGCTGTACTTAGCCGGTTGCCGTCATTTTCATCAAGCTAGAAATATGTTAGAACGAGCATTGTCTCTTTATTTACCGAACGCTAGTACTGTGAATGAGGTAAATATTTTTAAATAATACTTAATAAATACTTTTGATTTCTATGTTTCTATTAAACATGTCTTACACATTTTATCGTTTAATTTACAGATCAATGATTTATTGAAAGTGGCGAAAACAAATTTTGTGGTTCTAAAGTTACTCGCTGATGGGCATAAAAAGGATTCCAAAGAACCTCCAGTATTTGATTTCTCATGTCATCAACATTTCCCATTGATAAAATTGATCTAAATTATTTGCAATGGCCATGATTTCATATTATAAATTACATATTATTTATTCTAGCTTTAAACGTGCAAAAAATATTTTTGTGTTGTTGACTTTGGATATCTTTTTTTTGTCTAATACAATCTTCAATGTTTAATACAATCTCTCTTTTTTTCTTTTATTAACAGTACATCCTTCATTGTACAGATATATATTATTTATCGTACATATTTTGTGCATAAATTTCTATAAAAAATGAAAATTATATTTGTATATAGTTTATCATAAATCGTATGCTTTAAGTAAGTTCATGTGGATGTTAAGAGTGAATGCGACGATCGTTTGAAGATGAGGTTTGTGAAATTTACAGATCATTATGAAATGTAAATAACAGAAGTATAGGATGTATAGTCTCGAAATGTTGTATAGTAACACATCTTATCAATGAAATTGTTAACAGTTCTTGTTAGTGACGTCTGCAACATTTTGAATATATATTGCAAGCTTCAGCTATGTAATACACGTTCTGATAACAATCTTTTTTATAATAATTCGTAAGTTCATTAATCAAACGAGATCTAAGTTGTTTATGTCTACAAATATTATATTCCATACATTTTAGGAAAACATGATTTATATATTATTAAATTCTGTATTGTATAGAAACAAAAGAATATTGCAACACTAAACTGAAACATTGAATTTCCATGTAAAATTAATGATTGAAAGATAAAATACTTGTAAATTACAAAATTTATGTGAGAAAGTGATGTATGTCTAATAAAAATGATAATCTGAAATAGTTGTATATTTAATAAATGACATTATACATTATGTTATACATATATATATATATGTAAATTAATAAAAAAATGAATACAAGATTTGTTTAATTTGAACCTATGTTCAATGCTTAACCTATTATTGCCTCAAACCAAATTGTTACAATTATGCGAATATTTTTTATTTAAAACATTCTGATTTATTAATATGTAAAAACTTTCAAAATGGTTTGCTGTGGTTCCATGGAAGTGGAAGATCGAAGAATAAAGAAACCTTATTTGGGAGGATGGAAGCACAAATTTACCCAAACAGAGTATTTAAATGCCGAATCGCAAACAGACCCACCAAAAAAGCCAGATATAGAAAAGTGCAGCAAAGAAGTGCAATATATTTCTTGGTCAGATGTATGTACGCAAACACCATGCGATCATCCAACACAAATGTGGCGGTACACATGGTTTTCTTGTATTTAGATTAAAAAAGATCCTTGCAATTTTAGTATTACGGATCATTTGTCCACCTACGAATTTTGTTTTGTTAATCGTAAATTGCTTTTATCATTCTTCTTCATTAATTTATATTTTTTTTTTTTTCGTTTAGATCAGATTGTTTTATATCGAGTGAATCGGACAAATATATAACATCAAAACCCTATGAAACATACGAAGAAATGATGAAACGATTGGATTACGACGGAAAGGCACGAATTATCCAAAGGAACTATAGAGTATACAAATTACTGAAGTATATCAAAGAATACGCGAGGCAATATCGAGAGTTGGTCAAAGGCTGTAAGTTGTACGAAGCAGAAAAGATAATGTTATACAGGTATGTAACATCTAAAACATATAAAATGCATTCAATTGCTCGAAAGTGTATTTGTTCGATTCACGTTTCAGGAAGAGGCATCAACAGGAGATCCTTCGAAGAATCAATCCCAAAACTCGGCTAGATTTCGATTTGCTATATGATTTGGTCGAAAAATGGAGACGCGATCACCTCGAATGTGCGAAGCTACGTTTCTTTAGACCCGCGAGATGCGCAGAAAATTGTAGAACCTTGGAGAAAACCATAGAAATGTTGAACGTAATCGACGAGAAAAGACAGGCGTTGAGAAAAAGCTACAGGAAGCAGAAACTCGTGAAATTTGTTACGGTGAATTGTAAGCCTATTTTGTGGAATGGTTACAAGAACAAGCTATTGAAAATGGACACGATGCGAAACCAGAAGGCAAGGGAATTGAAGATGATTTACGATTCGTTAATGAATTATAATGTCACTCGCGGGGAACGTATAGAGATGCTCACGATGCTGAAGAAATCATTGGCGATGCACAACTGCGTGTCTGCGTTTCATCTGATACGATTATTGGACGAGGAGCTGACCTACTTGGCAAGAGAGATGAAAGGCATGTCGCTGGGCTACTTCCGGGAAAGGATAGTTTGTAAGAAAAAACATAATATAGGAGATTTTGGCTTGGACGCTGCAAGTTGGCAGAAGAATTGCTAATAAAACTTCTTCCTTTCTTCTCTTTGACGATGTAGACAGTTACTTGAAGTTTTTACGGACATCACACTCGTGCTGTTGCGCGAACAACGATAGAGACTTTTGTAAGAACGTAGACGATGAAAAATTGCGAGAACCGATTGAACCTATGACGAAATTATGTCACAGTTGTTTGAAATTGCTTCCTATTCGTCGATTCACTACTCACGGAAGGATGAAAAGGCTATCTACTTGCGTTGGTACTGATTGATCTAGTTTGGCATTTTTATCGAAATATTCAAATGAAACAACGTGTCTTAAATCTTCTTTTACTGGTTTAAGGGTGTACTTGGCTGCGTGAACGAAATATCAGACATGTGAACTACGATCCTTGCGTATTTCTATTAGACTGTGTGCGCCGCGAGGAAATAAAAAGAAGATCGCCCTCGGCCATTGCGTTTATGATGCAAAAGCAGGACATGTACCATTTGGTGAACAATATTTGGCATGGCCAGTCGGTCGTTAGCGAAAACAGAGATCTGTTTCTATTGCGAATCGTTCGATACGACGTGAACGAGGAATGGTCACCGTGGAATTGCATGCTTTTGACCGAGGAGGAGGCTGACGTTCATTGCAGGATCAAGAATCTCGCGGACGTATATTCGAAGCCACTTATCGAGAAGATCCTGTTGTTTCATCAGTTGGCGAAAAACCAATTTAAGTACGTACGCATACAGTTTCGAGAGTAAAATAACGTATTGATTGAATTCATTGCAGGCATCTGAGACAGTTCGAGAAGGAGTTTCGAGAAAAGTTTCATAAAGTTGAGGACAAAGCGATATACAAACCAGCGATCAAAGTGGATGATTACCTCTTCACGTGATGCATCTTGCCTTGCATAATTTTCTATTTACTTATTCGTAAATATTTTATTCTTTCAAATTACAATGTCACTTTCTACTTGAATGCATTCAATTCGTTCTTACAAAGAATAATTACCTCTTTCTTTTTGTACAAGATTGACGATCTTCATTTAAATTTCATTTGTTGCATTTGGCGCAAGAACGCGATCAATAGGATTTTTGGCATATGAGATATATAAAATCGGAAAATAATGGAGTAGAAAGTGCTTTTGACCAATCGACCAAGCAAGTTGCCATTGGCAACGCTGGATTTAAGGCTTTGACCTTTCAGGTGGTGCAGAAGTCTCTTATATGGATTGCGGCGCATTAAAAGCACCGTTCTTTCCTTTCTGTCTGACAGTTTCCGGAACTGGTTTCTCGTTTCTTTTCCTGTGATACGATGTCGTTTCGATAAATCTAATAGCACGCGTTATTTCAAGGCACGCCGTTGCTACTGCCGTCGTTTCGCCTCTTGGTCGTTAGTGTACGCGTCGCAACACTTTGCGTCGTTGGCCAATTTATTGCTGAACGGGACGAACGACGATAAATTTCTCGGCGACGACGACAAATCACGACAAAACGAACGATGAATAATCTCGAGATCAGATGCATCTGATAAATAGTTAGTGAATAGATGGTAAATTTATACGTATAAAACAAGGAGAACGAAGTAAGTAAATTAGAACGTTGTGTAATAACCTTTACGATTACATCAATATCAGTTCGGTTGAAAAGAAGCTTCAGTTCTTTATGAATTGCACGCATTCGCTTTAAAATTTTTCAAAATTCGCACGTCACGAGTTAGTCAAATACGTTTCTGTAATGCGTCTATATGCAATGAAGCTAATTTAAAAAATTGATTACTGATTTATCATACGTTGATTTTAATGGGAAGTATCGTTTGTTACACACGCGCTCTGAGATAATTGCAGCGTGTTGCAATTACATTTGCGAATCGATTTCTCCATTTTTCGATTGGTATTACCAGTGGAACCCGGACTTTAATTATCATTTCTGCTACTTATTTGTATTCGCTTCGTTTATTTTCGCCTTTTGTTGCTACCAATTTTTTCCATCAGTGTTGAAATAATCGAGATATTCAATAATATTTCCACGATATTTATGTTTTTTTAATATTTTTCCTAAACTTATAAAGTGTGTTCATCGTTCGATTTGGCTCATTAATATTGTTTCATTGTCGATGCGGGACTCTTTTAAAATTTCAACGAAATTTCAGCGCTCGTTTCTGAGTACTGGAATATTATTTTAGAATTATTTATATTTGATTTCGAGAAGGAAAAAGGAACGTTAATCCCGATAGAGGGATGAAAAACCATCCACTCGGGGATCGAGGGCGGGCGTGCTCGCAGCTAGACGAGGCGGTTACATTGGCGATTCCCTTTTTGCATTTCTTCACCACTTTGGTCGATTTACTGGAATATTTTTGCGTTCGTGTCGTATCTTAGCAACCCTTGTTTTCGTTTTTTCGTTAAATAATTCATAACGCAGGCGAGCGCGTTGCTTCTCTTGAAAAATTTTGAAAAATCGTGCGCAATAATTCACGGGAAGTTTTCCTCTGGTGGTCTCACAATCTTGAAATACTTTCAGACGTTTCTGCTTGGCTCGAAATTTTCACACGGAGAGAAGTTAACGTTTTCCAGACATTTTCTTGAAATAGATACAAGTCGGGAAGACGACGAAAATAAATGAATTTGCAACGAACAAGCAAGTCGACAAAGAGTACATTGTAATTCGGTATTTTGATAAATTGGAGAAAAGATGAGAAAGAAGGAACAAAATTCGGGAGACAAAAAAAATAATCGGAAGAAGATGTTTACTAGCATTTGCTTGACTGCTGCGATTCATGCATTTTTGACTTCGTCGTCTTCTCGCAGAATCATGAATGTTTCGTGTGCAAATGTAGTCAGCTGCTGGCGATCCAATTAAACAGAAATTAAATTTCTGTGTTCAGTCGGCCACGAACGTTTAATAAGCAAAATGTAAACACTTAGCTCACGGGGCAGGTGAGCCAGTTTACACGTGCAAAATGAATTCTTCGCGTTATTCCACGTTTTACGAATGCTAATTAAATTACAGCTCGTCCAATCGAAAATCTATATCGCGTTACAATCACATGTACGTAGAATTGAATCAACTTTCAAATTAAATTTGTTCTTTTTCTTGAACGTCATTTCATTTCAGGATTTTCAAAAGATTCCGCGAGTGAAATGAAAAGGAGACGAAAAAGTAGAATAAGGACTGATAGAGAAACGATCTAACACTTTGTAATGGCTCAGTTAAAATTTTGTTGGACGAAATAAGGAGAGCAAAAAAAAAAAAAAAAAAAAAAAAAAAAAAAAAAACTAGAAATAAACTACGCGTATGCATGTGTGTTTTTCTTGTTTGAAAGAGTGAATTACACGTGATGCATTTAATGTATCGACCGTGCAACGCGCGCTGGTGCACAAGTTTTACGGTTCTCCGCATTCTCGTCCGTGCATTTCCTTGCACACCGGAATAATTATATATTCCATCAGCCATAAAATCTTGAAGGATGCATTCCTCTCTTTCTCGCGGACGCTAAAACTCTAGCCGACTTTCGACAGGATAGTAAAAGAAATTAAGTATCATCTTACGTTTATAATTTGAAAAACCGTCAAAGCATTATACATTGAAATATCCTCCTTTATTTTTCTTTATTCGTGAGAAAGAAAAAAATTAAATTTTTCTCCTCAAGTAATTTTCATACTCAAAAATATAAAATATATTCAATGAATGGAAATTTGTTCTTTTAGTATTTATTTCTTCAATCTAAGAGCTTAAATTTTTATAAATAAATCATCGGTTTAATTATGGTTTTAATTGACCAATCGCGCGTAATATATTGACGAACCTCGCGAGTTACATACGTTTGCGCTTTCGTCGACGGTTTTCTAATCGATCAACTTATTCGCAGTGAAATTTACGTTGGCAATACACTTATTTATGATCGAATTTGTGCCAGTACATATTCGTTCACGGTGAAATTTATGCTACACTAAGCGATCACCGATAACAACCGCATTTATGGCTAAATTTATGACGCGATACACGCCATGCGTCGATGATTGACGCTGTAATATTTACGCCGTTTGCTTGGCGCAATTACCATAGTTACCTAGGTTTGCACGCTTATGATTTTTTTATCGGGCCATTACAGGCCGAAAACTAACAGGCAAGAAAGCACATCCGACCACGATGTTCAAAACTTGCTAATGGCTTGGAAGCTATTCTTGCCACGGAATATTATCCTTTCATTCCTTAATGGGAAACAAGGTTTTTCATTCCTTTCAAAAAATTAAATACAAATGAAACAACCGTGCTGCTTGAAGCATGCTTACCATTTCTTTGACGAAGACGTTGTCACAACGAAGCTGTACAACTTGAAAATTGTACCATTTGCTCGCAACTCTGTCAAATTTTTTCACAGCATTAATTAAATTTTGTACATAGCCGTCGATCGAAAGCAATAAAGTTAGGATGTTTAAACTGGCTTTAATAGGGCGCCCGATCGTGTTTATAGTACTTTATGGGGCTGCCAGGTTCACCAGAGAGCTGTTTGCGCTTCGTGATTTCTAATGTCACACCGGTGCATTTACATTACGCTACAGGCCTGCTAATGGCACGTGGTTATGTTTACAATGCGCCACGTGGCCTCTAATGTCACTGTTCGTTGTTTACGCAGCATCACATGACCTTTGGTTTGCCATGCACTTGTAACCGACAATTCCGAATTGCATTTGCTAAATTATGGATTTCGTGTATCCTATTCGTAAATCCTACGATTAGGCTCAGTTACAGCAACCGAAATTGGAGTACACGTCGCTGCGACTTAAAGATGAAGATCTTTCAATCATGAATTTTATGATTGAACCGATATCTTTACTGTTACTCTTTTCAGATAACAATGATTCCACGTTGAAGAAAAGAGGACAAAATGAAGAAATCAAGAATCTCTTGACATTCCTGGGATCAGTGGAAAACTTCTAGGAAAAGCGAGACAAAGATACTCGTACTATTTTATAATAATTGATCTCGTATCTTTTTCTAGGTAACAATGGTTTCACTTATCACTCGTCAAAGAACACAACAAGAGATAGGATCCTTCGCCAAAGTTCTCAGTCTCTAGCTCTAAAATTGAGAAGAAGCTTACAAACGGTGATTATTCCGAGGAGACGAGGATCGAGGAATGTAAAAGCTAGACGATAGTTATCGTGCAAAACAAGGGCGGAGGTAAGAAGACACGCGGTTCGCGAAAACAACTTGGACGATTATCTAAATCTGCGTAGTCAATTTCGAGTCGCTTCTCCTGTCGTGGTGTCCGACAACGCTCGTTTGGCGAATTGTAAAAGAGCGGGCGATGCAATCCTCTGGGTGATTTCTTTAAACCTTGGCATAGTAATTTCCTTTATTGCCCGCATTACCATTATCCCGAGGCTAGCTTTCAGCCGCCGGTTATCTTTTTCCCCTCCGTAGTTAGTCCAATGAACCGTGTCGCTGTATCACCGATGACAACCAACCAAAGTTCAAATGGAGACCCCAGAGGCTGAAGCAGGATCACACTTGGTGGGTTGGAGGAACAAACTCACTGGAGCCATTTATCGAAATGCGTGCACGCAGACTGGCAAAAACAATCGCGAAAACGACCAAAAAGCACAGACGAATTTCACGATCGACAAGTTTACGAATACGGAGCGTGACGTTGGAGTGCAGACGTGTTCCAACGTTGACGGAGTCGTACAGAGTTTTAGAAACTTCAAGAAACAGAGACTCAAGGAGACCTCGAACGAGAGGGAATCAAGAGTCGAGGATCCTTCGGATGGGAAGATTCTAGAGAGCGTCGTAAAGATACAGAGGTTTTACAGGTGAAGTAACAAATGACGAAAGTTACGATAGCTATTCGGATAACGGAGGAATGGAGAGGTTTTTTCCCCCCATACTCTTGGTGACTAGAGTTGAGACAGACGAGCACGACGCTTTTATTAATTAATCGTCCTGGCATCGGTTACGAGGAGAGAGTTAAAACTCGATGTTACGCAATTTGTCCGCGTTGCATAAGTAGGTCAAAGGGAAACTGGCACAGGGGCACAGAATTTCTCTGTTCCGAAACTTTCTCGCGCGACCTACGACAATTTAACGTGATACGAGAGAAATTTTAAACCTCTCCAATCCCCTTCTATTATTGCTTCGATCAATTTGCATCGGTTTTACGATACTACCTTCGAAGTACCACTTTGGCACTTGGCGCGCTTAGCGCCAACAGCCCTACAGCCCTCGATCCACGAACTTTGCCCAAACCGTCTGGCTCCCCAAAATCCTTTGGATTCTCCCGAATCGAACCTGTCCACGAAGAACACATCCTCGTATACACCGGGCCGGTGTATCGCAACTTCGTGGCGTAAACTCCCGGCGACGAACAAAATCTCCTGAGGAACACCTGTTCAAACGTCTATTGGACGTTGCCCGCAGAGCTCACCGCGGCCGGCAAACCACGATCTCGTCGGGCGGCGTTTCAGCCTGTGCTAAGAACACGAACCGGCAGCAAATACAGCCAGCGCCTGTAGCGAGATCCTATCGCAGCCGGGATTTCGTGATACTAAACCGCACGTCGCCGAATACTCGGGCGGAGTTCGAGTTGCTGTACAATCTACTGGACCGCTGGCGTATCCACGAGACGAAGAGTGCGAGCGAACAGTTGTTCCGGTCGTCGAGGATCGCGTTGTGCAGTCTAATCTTGTCGAAAGAAGTCGAGCTGCTGCGAGCCATCGATTCCACGAAAACCACCGTCAAATACGCGATTAAGGAGAAATCGTACAGGAGATTCTTGGACGAGTTATGCAAGCCTGTCATCTGGCGAAATGATCGTCGCGGGGAGTCGACCGTTGTGATCACGCCGCTTGTACAACGCGCTAGATCCTTCAGGGACACGTTCGAGCAGTTGTCGAGGGTAGACACGACGGCGAAGGAACGAATTGACACGTTGTCCAAATTGAGGGAAGACGTCGAGCCTCATACGTGCAGGGAATCCGACGAACTGATACGTTTGTTGAACCAGGAGATAGATCTGCTGGCTTGCAACGTGGAGGGGAGTAAGTTGAATTGGCTGAGGAGTGGACTGAGGATGGCATTTTTGAGGCTGGCAAGGGTGTCCTTGAGTAACCTCGAGCGGGAGAATTCCAGGATGGTCCAGAGTGGATTCCGGTCTGGTTGTAAAACCATCTGCAGGAGCTGCGGCAGGCTATTGCCCGTCGAGAAATTTCCACGCGAGGAACGCTTCCGTTCATCTTCGTGCAATTACTGTCTCTACGTGAGAGCTCGAGCGGCGCCTCGGCTCGTCTACGAGCCCTATCGAGCGCTTCTTCGCGACGTCAGACGTCGCGAGGCTAGAGCCCGTTGCTACACGAGCCCGGCGTTTGTCATCGACGCGAAAATCGTTTACCATCTGGTGAACGACATTTGGCACGGGAAATCGGCCGTCTCTGACAACGATAACCTGGAGGAGTTGAGACTCGCGAGATTTCGAAACGGCGAGGAGTGGTCACCGTGGAATTGTCTCTTGTTAACTGCGACGGAAGCCTCGTTTCATCGAAAGATACTCGACCCCGATAAGTTTTACGGCCCGATGATACTACAAAAGTTCCGCACGAAGAATCTTCAGGCGAAACTTCGCTTCGAGCCTGTGGCTGAATTCAAGACCCATCGCCGGGATAAACAGCGCTGTTAAACACCGCTGTTTTGTTATTCTTCATCGCGGGGTTCCAAACCAAATCATCAACTAAAGTTAATTGGTGAGTTGTGGATACGGTTCCTTCGACTTGAAATAAAAAAATAACGGAACGGAGAAAGGAAAGTTTAATACCATTTGATAAGAGCGCTAAACGAGTACTTTGTTTGTAGCGTGTGAAGTATCTTGGATACAATGAAGTATTTTGAAGTATTTTAAATACGATTTAAATAATAATTTCTGGCTTTAAGTAAAACAACTGTTGCACGTAATTTTGTTGGACGAATAATCAAGATACAATCATTTCAAAAGCATTAGATTTTGAATTACGAGAGAGCTTAAAGTTGAAATTGCGTTTGACGCGCGACGGTTCTTGCTTTGAACGAGCTTTCTCTCGCGCGTTTCTTTTTCAACAATCCTGCAATCTGTCTCTGTAATTTCGTTCTTCGCGCGCGGAAAGTCCTAAATATCTTCCGTACATTAAGCGGTCGTCCAGCTTTATGGAGGGGAAGTAAAAGAAAATGTACACGTATCGTTAAAGTTAAAAAAAAAAAAGAAAAAAAGGAAACATAATAAAGTGCAACGAAATAGTCGCCTGGCGCAAGTATGCCAACTTTTATTTCGCGGTGAACAGCGTCGTTCCGTGGTTTACATTTAAAACCCGCGTCCACGCGAGTGTTTTCCATTTGAGATTTCAATTTGCAGTCCCAGCAGAGCGGGATTTCCTGCTGATTTCAATCTTTCAACAAAAACGTTCAAGATTGGTTTAGATTAGAATTAATCGAAACGGAAGATACGAAACGTCGTCCTTATTCCTTTTACGACGACTGGCCTCCCGATATTAATAAGAAACGCTATGTCGCACACAGTTTGTCCAATGAATATATTCACTGAGGAAGCCTTTTGAACCGTGCACGAACGTCTAACGAAATTAGCCGTTGCTCATCGTTGGTCAAACAGTCGCTAAGCCAATGGGTGACATAAATTTCAGATGCATTGTCGTGCCGGCTCGCGTCAAAGTGACCGAATTGACTGCAGTTCTATGGTTGATACCACGCTTACGCAACAATTCCCGAATATTCTGATAATTATCCATCTGCTGCATTAATCTAGTTATTTCTACGATCGTTTGTCAATCGCTCGTCCGAGAAGTTGATCGCGCACGACGATTAAATACCGATTGTTCGTTGCTCCAAGGTTGGAGTGTTATTTGTAAATAACGTCGAATGTAATTGAAATTCGAAGTTACTTCGGGCGGAAGCATTTGCAGTAATTTGTGCGACAACAGGTAACAACGGGAACGTTATAGCGAGTCGGTCGTAGATAATGTCGCCGCGTCTACTGTAGGCGCGCGGTTAAGTAGTTTACGACCGCGTGTGGTCAGACACCCAGTTTAATGTAAGACGATTATACGCTCAACGCGATATGCGCGCGTTAGATATATGAGACGAGAGACTACGTCAAACTCGGACCGCACACACGGCTCACGTAGAATCATAATCGTGTGTTTGGCGCGTTCCGCCGCCGGAGAAAAAGAAAAAAAAAAAAAAAAGACAAAGAAGGAGCGACGATCGAGGAACAACGCAATGTTCTACGAATTTCCATTAAACGTCCTTTTCAACGTTGTTGAAACTGTTTGAGAACTCGCGGGAACAACTGGAAACGCTCTGGAGCGATCTGCAGCAATGTTGCAAACTACGAAATTACTTCCTGTCACTTTGCAACGATGCTCGTGAAAGTTTTAGCCCCGTGCTCGTGAAAGTGGAGGCGACGTTATAACGTCGGCCATCCCTCCCATTTTTCCTTCGGATCAACGTTCTCGTCTTTGAACGAATTAATCGTACGCGTGGATTCCAACGGGACCGGATGCCATCGCGCAGACATCGTAGCTCCCATTCGCGTTGCGAATGCATAAACAAGCAGCCAGTTCCTTCACGGCTGAAGCGTGGAGCCGGCCACGAATCGTTCGGCGAAGAATCGCCCAGGCGAATTGAGTTGCCAGAACTTCCCTTCCCCTTCGCCGGCGAACTTTTCGATTATTCGAAATTATGGCAGCTCTCCGGAGAAGCGGAGTGGTATTTTCCACGATTTGCCCTTCCCCCTCCTCCATCGAAAGCGTATTCCATCGTGTTCGCCGGAAGAATTGGAAGATATTGTCATCGATTTTCTACAAATAATAATATTATTCGTCGAACGAATGGGGGAGGAAACTGGGCGCCGAGCGAGTCTATTGCGATAAAATGGCGGCATTTTAAAAGAGCCGAGAAACTGAATTATCGACACTCGGCGGGGGCGACTAATTACGCGAAGTCGAGACGGGCGGAGAGAGCCGGGACGAAGTCATTTTGCAATTACCAAACGCAAACTTCAGTCTGTTCGCGATTTAATCAGCCGGCCTGGCACAGTTCCGATTCTCGGATCTAATCGAATCGTTAACTTTTATCGTTACTTTCATTGTTTCTTCGTTTCCAGCGCGGAAACGACGGTCTAAGTGAGAGAGGGGAGGGGGCGCCGAGGGTAATCCGTAATTTTGATCGACTCGATCGCGATCGACGCGCACGAAGGCAACGAGGAGGTGTACGTTCAGTCGATAAATCGTCTAATTTGCAATAACAATCTAGGTTTAACGTATAACGAGACGCGTTTAACGACGAGATACACGACACCGATAGATTAAAGCTTTCAATTAATTAGCCATCGAATGGAAAACGATTAATCATCTCTCTCGGATAGCGGCTAGTGAAAGGAAATTAATAAACCGAAATTGGGTTGCGGTAACGATTAATTTTAATCCTTTTTTCCTACCTCCCCCCTCCCGCCCCTCCCTCTATCCCTATACCTCTTTATTCCGATTGGAAGTCTCGGTCCTCGTTCTGCCAATAACGCGACAAATCGATACGTAGCTACACACGCGGATTCGATTACACGTGGCCAAGTCACGAGCAAATTTTCAACATTTTCTGCCAGTAACCGTACGTCGATAGCTTTCGCCGTCGATTAATCACTTCTTTCAATTAAACAACCGACGAAAGTTAATAAACCGAAAAATGGCCCCTGTTACAGTCATCAATTTGAATTTGTCAGTGGACCGCCGACCGTTTAACATTCGATCGCCAGGTAACTGTGCAAGTCGATCGACTCCGATGTCCGCTCGATTATTACGTCTGGCAAATAAATTGAAATAAATTAACCGGCACCACCGCGTGCCCGGCGATTGTTGTTTCCCTGTTTCGCGTGCAAGTAACTTGATTACTCGCGATTTAATTGTCGACGATAGAACGGTCATCGTGGGCTGTAATTTTCATAATAACACCGGCCCGGTGTAATGATGATCGTTATTAGAATGATACGGTCGACGATCGTTAATTTCTAAATTGTTGGAGCGCAATTCGAAGGATTTTGTAGTTCAAATGGGCTACCCGCGATCGTTTTCTCCTCGGAGGAGGAAAATTCGATGAAGATTTCGATCAAATTTTTCTGACTGGCGGTCGGCTTTCTCTCGTGCCATCAGCCCCGCAAATTTCAAACCGTTTACAATACCGTTTTTCGATACACAGCTTAATGACTTTTATAACCGTGGAACAAAACGATTGGAAAATCAACGCCGGTATTAAAAGGTTTGCGTGGTCGTGTTAATAGACTGAGGTAATGACAGTTCGTTTCGACGAGTTAGTTTCGCCCGCTGATCGTACGCATTCGATTTTAACGATTAATTTGTTTGCCCGACGGAACACCTGTGCCATCGGACGCTTCATCGGACGTTGGCCGTTGATGGAAGGCTCGCACGTTATTTGACGACGAATTGGACAGAATTAATAGAATTGCTTCCCTGATAGTACGGGTTAACCTCTTGACGCTCAGATTTTTCACGAATATTTTTCTTTTACATAAATTTATGTTTTAAGAATATTGTTCATACATTTTTTGCATTTTTGGCGATGTACAAGTCTTTTTAACGAAACAGATGGGAAAGAGTGAAAGGTAGAATGTAACTCGAACAGTAGAATTTATCTTAAAGATAAAAAAAAACAATTAGAAATATATAAATTTCAAAGTGAAAGATATCATAGCTACGATACATAAACATCGACAGGCAGTGCAAGCAAACCACGTAGCAGTAACCGTATCTGCTACGCCAGTTGCAAAATTGGCATTTAGGCGAGAAAAAAAAAAAAAATGACAACGAAAAATTTAACAGCAAGATATTTCTGAAATGATTCGCTCGTTGTCAACAGGGAAACAACCCGGAAAATGCACAAACGCAGAGAATCCGCCGCAAGAGGCAATTCCCCTCCCCCGATCGCGATGCAGTTTAATCATTTGCCGGGAGCTGCGTGATCGCGAGAGAACGGATCACAGGCGAACGATACCAGGCATCAGCATGCTTGAAATGCGAAGCATTAATCGAATCGGCGCGGCGACAGCTTCCAACGCCATCAGCGAGAGATTTCGCAGCGCGGTGCAGTCGCGGTCACGATGCCGCCGCGATAAGTATGGAAATTGATATGAAATCGGCGGCGTAGAGAAAGGCGGCGCGCTTGCACGCAGGTAACGTGCACACGCGCGAGCGAAAGGGTTGTCGGTTTGCAAGCCGACAGGAAAACACCAAGGGTGGGAGGGAGGGAGGGAGGAGAGAGGAGGGTCAGACCGGGAGTGATTCATAACACGGGCGTCGCATAAATTGCGGGTGATATGTTGGCGCGCAATTAGGGTTTGCTAAATCGGCATTACTAATTAGATTTGGTGTACCGAGCTTGGCTGGCCGACCGAGCCGCCGCCTCCTCCTCGTCCTCCGTGTAATTGATTCGAGTTTCAAACTAATCTATACTCCCGGTCGCCTCTCGATGGTGATCGATAATCGTTCGCGACTGTTGCAGGCTTGCAGGAGACCGTCGCGTACCTCGTCGTCGTCGTCGTCGCCGTGCCGGCTGGTGTAAGAGCTCTCAGGGGGAATCAGCGTCGAAAAATCACGTGAAATGGGAACGTCGTGGAATCAACGT